GTTATATGGCATGTGCCAACCTAAACTTCTTCGGCCCACCACGCAGTGCTAACATTGTTTTGGGAGTGTCTTGAAGCTTAAAATAGCAATGTGTTTATCTATATGCGATTGAAAGAGAACTGACAGCAATTACTTCATCAGACTGAGTGCCAGTCGCATATGTTCTTAGTTCCAGGTTGCGGTACGTGTATAAGACTTCGATTCTATCGACTGTGGCAAATCACTCGATACCGAATTACTCACTGAAGACATGCAGTCAACTGGCAATGTGTTTCGGAAGCTGTCGTAAATAAATGATACAGCCTCCCTCCTTCCTTCATTGGTGGGTCTCCATTTCTGCGTACTGATCTAATTCTCCCTTAACTCTTATATCCGGAAACGCAACTACGCAGCCATACGTCACTCAACAGATCTTGTCATTCATAATATTTTATAATTTTCAGAACACCTTTAAAGTTCACGTGATATTTTTCCAGAATATTCATATGAAGGCAATTTTTTAATATTTTTGCCCCCCATGTTCATCAGACAGTTATGATGACAGCTGATACAATCAGCATAGTCAATTGCGGTCATTTCAATCTGTTACAAAACAAATAACTGCTCCGGAGTCTATGTGTTTTAGGGTGTGTTCGCACATTCTCCACTTTTAAATTCTAGTTTGCAGAGAATATTTTTCCGACCAGCGTGTTGATATTCTTATAAACCAGAGCGCCTTATATATCGATTAATTCTGGTTACTGACATTGAAGCGACTTTGTATGGTTCACGGCACAGCGTTAATCCGTAATCATGAGTGTTGCGAAGAAATATATACGGTGCCTTGTTATAATATTAAGGTGTGTTAATAGATCCCAAAAGTACGCCTACCAAGAGACGCGCTTACGACGCGGAATTCAAATTTAAGTTTATGAATCACAATGTAGAATGCTCTGACCTTGACCGCGGTTAGTTCAAATTCTGAGACAAAGTGGAAGATTTCTATAAATCGATTTACTCAAGAAAAGAAACGACTTTTAGTCTTTGTATTTACTCTACAAATCATCTGTATATGTATATTTAAGGGTAATAGGCAAAAAATGCCCTTGAGGACCCTATTAATGTAAAGCAAACAATGTTATTCTTAC